TTTCTAAGTGTGTTTGTGTGTTTGTTTGTGTGTGTTTGTGTGTGTTTGTTTGTGTTTGTGTTTGTGTGTGTGTGTGTGTGTGTGTGTGTGTGTGTGTGTGTGTGTGTGTTTGTGTGTTTGTGTGTGTGTTTGTGCTTGTGCTTGTGCTTGTGCTTGTGGTTGTGTTTGTGTTTGTGTTTGTGTTTGTGTTTGTGTTTGTGTTTGTGTTTGTGTTTGTGTGTGTGTTTGTCTGTTTGTTTGTTATTGTGCGTGATTGTGTGTGTGTGTGTGCACGCGTATGTGTGAAAAAGGTGTCTTTGCGGAACATGTGAATCATTGTGGACGGTAAATGGTTGGCAATTCTCGGAAGCGAGTGGCCAAGAACTTCAGGCAAGCATCTTGAAACTCGGAGAGTCCTCCCCAACGCCGACCTTTCACCAAGATCTCATCCTGGAACAAATCCGTCTCCTGACAAGACCGACCCCGAAATCATATCACTATGTAACCTGGGAAGACTGCAAATGAGTAGCTTCTTTTTTCAGAGGCCGCGTTCCGATAGCCAGCTTCGCATCTCGCGGGGGAGGAAAGCATCAGAATCCGAGTCTGTTCCAGAGGAACCGAGCAGGAAGGAGAGCGCTTTCCTTGCCGCTCCGCTTGCTCTCGCCAAGGCTTTGTGCAGGAGCTGCTTGCAGAGGCGGCCGTAGTACATACGGAAGTCTGGTGGATCGGCGGTGGGACACAGCTCTTCCGGAAGCCAAGGGATCCGCTTTCGCCAGCACGCACGAAGAAGATAGGCCCAAGCCATTTCGATGCCAGGCTCAGAACATATCCAGCGCGCAGTGGGGAGAAGGTCATCATCATCATCATTCTCTGCTGAAACCGAGCTCAAACGATCCACCAAGCCAGCGAAATCGCTGACCACTCGATCCACGGCAAGCTTCAGAACTTCCTGGCGAAGCTGTGCACAGAATCGAGAACATCTTCAACAGCTCTGTCTTTACTTATGCTGCCATCCGAAATGATCCCCTGATGTCCTGGTTCGCCGAATCGATACATTCCTGAAGCGAGGCCGGGACTTGTTGCTTCAGGAGCCCATCAGCATCGTGCGTCTGGGCACGAGTGTACACGAGGCAGCGAGCTTCTGTGCTCTTTGGCACGAGCTTCATTCCCGGTAGATCTCGTAGCTCTTTCCTGTTGCCGCATCCACCAGGCGAATGAACCCAATCAGCCTCGTCCTCACTGGTAGATTCGATGTCGTCCGATCGTCCTTCTGCCAGCTGTCGCATCTCCTAGAAGGTGTGGCGGCATCACCGCTATTATGCAAGAACGACGGATGTATCTGAAGCAGTCTAAAGAAACCTTTCTGCTTCTGCCACGCCACAGGGAAGGAGGCAAGGCTAACAGTCGCATCGTTCAGACACCACCATGCGGAGGTTCCTGCAGAGCTCTGCCTCGCAAAGGCGAAGTAATGACCGGTCTCCAGGGAGCCTTGGTGCACAATCACCGCCTTCAGCTCGTAAACCAAGCCTCTTTCTTCTCCCAGCTTCATCAGATCATCCCCCTGCTCTTTCAAGCGCTTCATGAGCTCCTCCTGGCGCTCCGCAATCCAGAGAAGCTCATCCGAAACCGGAGCTCCGGGAGCTCCGGGAGCTCCGTCCTCCCCGTCCTCCCCAGCGCCTTGGAGGGCCATGGTACGGTCCTGCAAGAGGCTGCGGTTCCGTGCCAGCTCTGCTTGCAGGCTTCGGCGGGTTCGGCGCTTCTCCAGAGGCACTCGGGCCACGTCGGGTGACAGCATCCACACATTCAGTCGGTCTGGGAAGGTAACACGGAGCCTCCTCTTGACGCCTCTCGACAGGCGACGGTCAAACCGAAAGCGGTCCAAGTTCAGCCACAGCACCTCTGGCAGCACGTAGGATCGCCTCACTCCCCCTGCGTGCTCTTCGACGTGCTCTTCGAGGAGCTCCGGCAAGGACTGAGGCCTTGTGACGCAAAGGTCCAGCTGGAAGACCGGGCCATTTGCTACTTTGCGAACTTCTGTGGGGAAGTCCCCCGTGTGCTCGTGCAGCTCGCCTCCAAAGAGCAGTTGGACCGCCTTTGCCAGAGGTCGGATTCCTTCTCCGCCGCTTTGACCGCTTCGAAAGCCTTTCAAGAAGACGACGTCGAAGAGGGTCTGCAGCTGCTCGCACGCGTCCGCTTCTTCTCCCGGCCTCTCGAACACCGTCTCGTAGAGCCTGCCGGCATCGATGGCACTTGCGAGTCCCATTTCCATGTCTAGGAGGAGGTCTCGTATCATTTTCAATTTCGGTTGTGCCGCTGCGACAGACTCGTCCAGTTGATACAAAGCATGTCGAAGTTGGGGCGCGCAGAAAAAGAGTGCCTGCAAGAGAGCGTTGAAGAAGCAGGAGTTCCCAGAATTCCTTAGCCCTGCAGGCGCGAAAGGTCCTTCGGCTCCCATCATGGAGCGCACAGAGACAGACGGATGCGAGGAAGCACTTTCTCGGAGTGCCTGCCGAATCGCTGCTTCCTCCGCCGCACAAGATGAAACATGTGGAGGAGATGAGGAGGCAGACAACGCAGCGAGGTACTCTGCATCTGCATAAGCCTGGCCAAGTCCATTGGCATACATCGAAGAGCACCAGTGCAGCCAGCGCCGCGGACTCGAAAAAAATACGACGGATGTCTGCTTTGATTTCGAGCCACTTCTGCGGAGATACACTGTACCCTTGCTATCTGAACTCCACGCAAGACATCACTGCGGTCGCCCTGAAAGTTAGCCTGAAATGGCTTCACAACGCCGCTGTGCACACTGCAGAAATGCAGCATAAAGTTCCAAGTTCTTGTCGTTGCAACTCTCCAACCGGGGACATCCAAAGACAACCTGAGAAGCTTCGCACATGCACAAATCAACGTGATTCCACAAAGAGTCCTTCAGGAACACTCTGAAGCCATTCTGAAGGATCACCTCCTTGACGGACAGACACACGATTTGTGGCATCTCGGCGCATGTCGGTGCCAGTGCCTCTCCGAAGTCGTCGGGTGATCCAGGCGTGACCGTGGCCGTGGCCGTGGTGCTTTTGCGGCTGGCAGTGGGCACCCCGAGAGCCTGGACCTGAAAGCCCCAAACCGCGCTTCGCAAGGGCCTAGAGACGAGAGCACGGCGAGCCTGCCTGGCGGCGCCTGCGGTGAAAGCTTTCAGCAAGGCAGCACGCGCACACACACACACACACACACACACACACTTTGGGACACTTTGGGACACTTCCGGCTCACGAGCGCAAAAACTTTGACTCGGCTTCATCCTATCAGTCTCGAGGGCGTGCGTGCGTGCACATCAAGACAACATCTTGGTGTGGCTATGGGTCAATCTGTTGAATTGCTGCATTCGGACCCCTTGTGCACGCCCCACCCGCGCACTGGCCGCGCTCCTCCGAACCGCCTTCTGACCACTCCCCTCCCGCCACCCGCCCACCGTCTAGCCACCCTGCCCCCCGCACAACCGTCCTCCCCACCACCCGCCCCCCGCCACCCGACCCTGTGCGCTGCCGCCCACACAACCATCCTCCGCTCCGATGCACTGCCCGACAACCATCCACCATCTATAGTCTTCGAAAGCTCTTCTGTCAAGACTGCGGCCCGATGTCGTGCACCTCGCGTTGGAGCGCTCAACGAGGGCCCAACCCCGGAGAAAGGCTTTCAGATAAAAAGTTGTCTTCATACGATAGGCCTAGTCTGCGACACGTTCGCCAAACGGTCCGAAGCAGTGGCGTCGAAGAGGAGCTTCAAGCGTGAATCCTGGTCTGCTTGTCAGCCTCCCCTAACACAAGTGCACGGAAATCTGTCCAAGCCGAGAACGACATCATCCTCATCTGCTGGCCACGCCTATGCAAAGTGTGATTCTTCTTTCCGTGGCTGCCTTGCCCGAATGGCGATCCTTGAGCTGCTCCGTGGCCACGGCCTGCATGAGCTGAGTCACCTCCTCCTGCAGGACTTCCGTCTGAGCCGAACCCTCCTTGCTCCTTGAAAGCGATTGGCAGCGAACAGGCTCGGAAGATTGTCGTCCCAACACTATTACCACTGTGATGCGCCGCGCGATGTCTCTCTTCCCGATGCTTGCAATATGCGGCACGCAGTTTGCGGGTTCCCAATGAGCCAGTGTGCATCTTTTCGCAAAACATCTGCGGACGCTTGTGCGACGCTTGAAGTATCAAACTCCTCTCTCACTGCGGCACTGCGCAGCTTTGAGACCTATGTAATTTAATACCACGCATCCACGCCTGTGGTCAGGTTTATGTACCCAAGCCCGTTCGACTAACGTGCAAGTCTTTGCCGATACATGTCTCACTACGACGAGCATGACAATGGCAAAAGCAGGACATGTTTTGTGAGAGCCGTGTGCACAGTCAGGTCTCCCGGACAGGGCATTCCCAAGACTTGCATTCGGATTGGGTTGGGTTGGAGAGCGAGAGCTTTTAGGAACTGCTGTGGTCAGCTTCAAGCGCAGGGGTCTGTGCAGAGCCCAGAACACGTCGATGCCCGCAAATGATCCAAAATCTTCGATGAAGCTTACAAAGCTACGTGTTGTCCATCTGCGCCAGTTTGTTTCTGGTAGCAGCCTCAAGCCTCAGCCAAGCAAAGCGTCGTTCACTGCTAGACTTCGCTCAGGAAACACGTGGCTGTGGTAAGCAAAACGCGGGACCTCAAAGCGTCAGTGTTCGGGGGTGGGGAGCAAAAGAAAAGCTGCGTTTGGGACTGGGGTTGGGGGCTGGGCCGATTAGGGTTGTGAGCTTTTGGCTGCGATTCGTGTTTGTTCTGGGGTTCAAGAGTAGGCTGTACCAGAATAGCACACAAACACCACCCTAAACTGAAGCGTGCACTGCTCAAAGGACCTCAAATCAAAGTAACCCTGAAAGTCACAGAGCGCCTCTTTCCAGGCATGTACGAAGTGCTCATGATCTTGAGCCACCAAAGCGGCATTGGAGAACGTGGGGGAGGCCCCTCATTGTATACGTTTTCACACGCCTCCTTGAATCGCAAAGTGTATACTCATGCGGATTCACACCAATCGAGATCAGTAGAAACTCACAGCAAAAGTTGGCTTAAGGGTGGCTCCGTAGTGCAAAGTCGTGTTTTGCGGGTCAGCACAAAAGTTGCAAGGTACTTGCGTGGTGCTCGTGGTGCTCGGTGTGCAAAGTCGCCGCTTCGTAGTGCCAGAAAAAGTGTCGTGGTTCGTACATCGGCCCATTTAAGTGCAGAGACAAAGTTGCATCATCATGCACCCACTAAAGTTAGCCATCCACAACGAGTTGCAGGCGAGCAGGTCAAGTGTTCTTCAGGAGACCCGCCAAAAAAACAACTCCGTCGTCGTAATTGACATTGCTGGAGTTGCTCGTGCAGCTGCCAAAGTAACGGCATGTGCATAAGGCGGAAATTCTGACCGTCATTCCGCGCAAAGTACTGGTTGAGGGCCGACCATAAAGGATGGCTCAAACGGGCGAGCCAGGACACAAAAGTCCAGCCCATTGGCTCCAAAGGTATGGAAAGTAGCGACGTTTTCAAGAACAAATCCAGACAACGTTGGTTCCAGAAACCAAAGTTGCCACGAGTGACCTGCGTTAAGAAAGTGCTGCGCAGGTCGAAACCCAAAAGTCAGGACGGTCTCCTGACGATAAAAGCTGAAAGTCCTGCGTTTGATTTGGCTGGTCGACAGTTGGAAGACGGCGAAAGTCGCGGCGAAAGTCAAAGGTTGATATAACCTTCAGCACAAACAGCTCAACCAAGGTACACTTCCTTGCCTTTGCCTTAGGCTGCTGGTCCGGCTCACCAGCAGGGCGCTTCCTTCCCCTCTGCTGGGCCGACTGGCCCTTCTCTTGGAACTTCCAGGCCTTGCCCTTGCCCGGTTTTGCTCGGCCACCCTTGTGGCCTCCTTCGCTGGATGGCTTTCGATCCTTCGCCGTCTTCACCGACGACTGCCGTGAGCGCCGAGTGCTTTTACGGCAAGCGGGGGAGCGCCGAAGCGCGTCCACCCACTGAGGGGGGCGCCGAAGCGCTTCCTCCTCACGAGCTGGCCCGGGATCAGGGACACAGCTCCGCTACCATGCAAAAGCAGGCGCGGGCAAGAAAGGGCCGGTTAACCACTATAACCAAACTGCACTCAACACACGTTTTGAAGTTTTGAACCGACCACGATCCGCTCCTGAACAAGCTTTTTCTCTTGACAGTTCGTGAATGAGGATACGAGATCTTCTGAAAGATGTCCTTAGCGGTCAAACTGCTCGTCTGCGACTGGGCAGTTGACGCGTCTTCAACTGGTGCAGCATGGCAACGAGGAGGCGATCCATATTCGATCGGTCCTAGCAGTGACGACCGAGGGATCCTGGACGATCCACCGGGAAATAGCGAGCCAGATGTAGGAAGAGTTCTAATTTAGAAATCAGGGGCGCCCCATCA